ATCTGTTAAGCATCATAAATAATTTTGACCAGCCAAATCGGTAAGTTGAACCACTGTGCGTCTTTAACCAAATTGAAACAAAACAATATAAAATAATAGAAGATATTGAAAAAAAATTACAATGAACTAAATAGACTGCTATTAAGTCTAGAAGAATTAAAAAGTACTGCCGAAACACAGGTAAGTCTTCGGTCAACCATGATTAACCAACATTGACTTAATATTTTTATTTTAAAATAATTGCTTTACAAGATTTAGGAGATCTTCGATCAAAATTTATATACTAAATGGAACGAGGCAAAAGATAAATTAATAATGTTATGCCCCAGCGGACGAATCAACATCTAGCAACAAGAAACTGACAGTCTCCAAAATTTATTTATTGGAAACACCTTTCCGTACTATAAAACTGGAAACAAAAAATGGCAGAATGGAGTTCGGCGGGAGCTAACATCACAAGAATATTTTATTAGGAGAGAAAAAACTAAAGCGATAGGAAAAAGAGGCCATTACTGGAGTCTGGTGGACAATTTTAATCCTAGACATATATGATTTCTTTTTATTTATTTTTTATTTTAATTCTAGATGAATGTTATGTTTTTTTATCTATTTTTTATTTTAATTCTGGAAGAATGTGATGTGAACTCGTTCGTTCGCTCGTTCGTTTGTTTATTTGTTTAATCTATTAGTGGGTTATATCCAGTTGTTTCAATTTATTAAACGGTTTGATACATTGTACACGTACAATTTTCGTCTATATCCTGTAGTAATGATTGATCCCGAACATATCCAAAAAACCATAAAATTGCTATATTTACAATAGCAAACAACGTTTGAATTATTTAAATAATCAATTAATTCCGTCTTCACTAGACTCTCGGCGCATGCGTAAGCACGACGCACAGCGCCGTGACTCGTCAACGGCAGAGGAGGCTAGTCTCCTACAGGTCCTCCAAGTTCCACTCTTGTGAACTTACAAATTTTAACTCGGTGCAGAAAATCCAGGCGGCGCTGATGTCGCTTCTCTACATGCATAGCTTGTATCACTGATTTTAACATACGCAACTAAAGATATCGTGACGTCATGTTCCCGCGAAATTTAACGCCGCGTTTTTCAATTGTTTCAAAATTTAAAGAGACTAAAAAAATATGGCGATTAACCACGATAACGGTCACTAAAGCGACAGCGTGGACAGTGATACCAAGTCATACTGATACGATTTATTATTGTTATTGATACTGTTATTATTATCCTTCACTATTTTTTTTAACGATTTCAACAAATTGTAATTTTTTTAAACGACCAGACACATCATCTAGTAGATTCATTTTGTACAACTCCTCAAGAAATCTCATTTGGTTCATGTTTAAAAAGAACATTCTGTTTTAGAGGGTGTCCGCATACTTGTAGACGGAGATGTATGTATGTTTTGTATTGTATGTATGTAAATTAATGTATAATAATGTAATCTGCAAGCAGAATGTATGATTTATTGTATACTTCTACTTTTTATATTATTTATAATTAGAATTAGAATTATACTTCTTTATATTAGTTATAACTCTATTTTTCATAATATTTTTATATTATATACATAGTAAAAATTTAATATATTTCCATTCCCCTTTATATATTGTTGTAATTTTTTCCCTATCATTATTTTTATTTTTCACCGTTTTGAATAAGACTGAATAAGACCATGCACACGTATATAGGGACCATGTGCTTGTGTGTGTGTACCTCACCGATATCATTTATATGCGTTTGTATCGACACCAGCGCCGCCTGGATTTTCTGCGCCAAACTAATTTTAGTTACAGCATTAAATACGGGAGTTTGGAGGGCCTGGTCTCCTAGTCTGTGGGTCTTGCCACTCAATCTTAGCGCCGATTGATCAATTTTTCAATTTTTAACAACGAAATGTGGCTAAACTACTGATCCCATGGAAAAATGCTGCAGAACTTTTCACTTTGATTTTTCGTGATCTATCCAGCGGTGTAGAGGTCTTCAGGGTATTTTTTAACACCCTGTATAAGAGTTTGCCATTGACCGAAATATCATAGCGACTTACACTCTATTACTTTACAGCTAACCCTAACCCTAACCCAACAAATCCTAACAAAAGACCTCCCACCCACACCACTGTGTTCCTCTCATCAAGGGCTTTCCAAAACTAAGATGATCTGAAATATATAACCTAACAAAATACGATTTTTGTTGTGTTGGTTGGTCGGTTAGATTGGTCATCATATGACAAGGAAAGAAAAAAGTTACAAAAAGTTTTAAAAAAAATGGATTTTACATGCGAAACCCTATAGAAACGGAAGCCGATATCGCTATGGTGTCAATGGCTGTTCGACACTTGACGATGAGGGTTGCTACAGCGAAGATGACTATGTTAGTTACGTCTGTATAGCCAAAAGTCTATGTATTGTACCGAAAGTTATGAATTAATATCTCGGAAACTAATAAGAAGCCGAAGATATCACTTTAAATTTGGGGTCGTCTACCTGCTCCCAACCAACCCTCCAAATTTCATGACATTCGGAATTACAGCCCCATTTACATTTGCCGAAATGATCGTTCAGGCAATAAACGCTGCCACAGACAAAAAGCTGACTGTGTCAGAAATATACGAATTTTTTAATCATTAAAAGTTTGGTGATGTATGAAGTTAATGTATAGTTTATGTATCTAAATAAAAACAGTAAGCAAATACAAGAAATTTTTACATTTGCATTTAAGGGATAAGGTGATATAAAGGATGCAGGCAGAGATGGGCAAAAATGTATTTAGATAAAAAATTTTAAGTTCGAATAAAAGCTCAAAATTGTATTCGAACTTCGTCGAATAAAAGATACTTTATTCTTATCCGTTATTCGAAGTTCGAATAATCACGAAGTATCTTATCCGAAGCGCCACGGATGAACTAATTTATTCGACGAGAATTTATCCGACAGACCAAAGATACTTTTTTTATTCTAAGGTTTTTCACTCTGAACTTCGAATAATTTTTTCATCTTCATCTATGTCTCTATTCGAAGTTCGAATAATCGAAAAGTATCTTATCCAAAGCGCTACGGATAAACCAGTTTATTCGACGGGAAGTTATCCGACGGACCAAAGATACTTTTCTTATTCGAAGGCCTTACCCTCTGAGCTTCGAATAATTTTTTCACTTTTATCTGTATCTTTATTCGAAGCTCGGATAGTTTCGGCAGGTACCTGTTGGATCCTTCAAGGGCCGAGGCGAGCGAAGCAACGCAGCGGTTATTTAACGTTATTTAACTAATGGTCATTCAAACCAGTAAACCAAATATTTCTAATAAAACGAAGACCTCCTTCGATACCGGAAATATCATTGTAGAAGCCTCTTTGATTAAGCAAACTCGAATGAATTAAGTCGTAATAGATTTCGAATATTCCAGAACTTTAGACTTGCGACGCATGAAATCCGTCGTAGCGTTAGAGGGATAGAAAGAAATGGACAACCTTAGACGAAGGTAGAAGTAGAAGTCAAGAAGGGATGAGAGAACTAGGAAGAGCGGCCAACTAGCCCAATACGCGCGGGATTTCCCCTCCGTCACGTACCCCGATTTGCCAAATGATGTCCCCACTTTGGGCCCTTGATCGCGGGTCGAACCCTGAGACACGATCGCTTGACTGAGGCAAATCACTCTTCGTCGAAAAATCGTGAGGTACGTGGCGGGGAGCCCGTGTTCGCGTCGAGCAATAGTTTCGTGTGAAAATCGTAGAAATTAGCTGACCGGTAAAGTCCTTGAAAAAGGCAGAGTGCCGGGAGATTGCGGTTCGCGTTTTCCGCGTTAAAGACTCTTGCGAATACGTTAAATTTCACACTTTTCAATCACTATCCTTTTCTCTTTCGTTTTAAACCGTCCGCTGAATTAATTACTTTTCTTTTTGGTTTTTTTTTCCTTTCGCGTCGCGTCGTCTTTACAATACTTTTGTGCTCGTTTCGTAATTAATCGTTCCGTAATGCCGTAATAAAGGCCGATCGCGAACGCGTAGTGCAGTGGCAGTTTCCTCATCTCTTCTTTGATTTCCAGATTTTCCAACGACACCAGAGAAAAGCTACTAACAATCTATTATCAGATATTATTATTTCACCTTGATTCCTGGTAAGTTGTCCATTTCATTTTATCAAATACGACGAATCTGGACGTGGCGAGGCAAAACGGGCGATCTACGAAACCGCGTATTCTGGAAAGTTTCCCTCTAGATCATTCCGTTCACAATAGAGACATAAGGTATCGAATATTTAAACTATTTGGAAAATTCCGATCTTACACACAAGGAGGACGGCCCCACGAAACCTAGGCTCTGGTAGTTTACCCTCTGGGACCGTTCTTTTCCTTTGATTCTCGCTTAGATTCTTTACACGACATCGTCGCTCGAATCATCGAACCATTTAATCAACCTCTATCTATTCTATAATCAATAGTTTCGTTTTTCATAAAATCTAAACTTTTCTTAATAATGCATTTATTTTCTGTTATATTTCAAACAGCTCGCATTTTCTGTTAACCAACCATTTTTATTGTTACATTTACCTTTTTGAGATTATATTTCTGTTACACCTAATTAGTTTAATTGATTTACATTTCAAATACTTCCTTTTTCCTTATTTTCACGCCTACCATCTTCGTACAAATTCACACGAGGGGCCCGTATGGGACTAGAGCATTGACGAACCCGATTAATATCTTAATTAACTATTAATTAATCTATCAACTCTTTTATTGTTCTAATCGCGAAGGATCTAACATCGTCTCGAGCGATTAGGACTGGTGGCAGCGCTAATACCGTTCTCAACCGCGTATCAGCCAACATAATAAGTAAAATTCTCGTTTTTTTATTTTGTACGTCGCGCGCCGTATCTCTCGCTCGCGACGTAACAAAATTAAAGTATTTTATCATTTTATTGTTGGTATTTAACAATAATGATGAATAACAACAAAAGGGAAATAATAATAATAGCAACAAAAAAATCAAACATTATAGATATAATAAAATGTAAATGTATATTAAACCCCACCATTAGTGTTGATTACGCGTAGCTACGGCACTGACTAGGTGAAGAGAGCGAGCTATGGCCGCCTGGCAGATACACGCGTCACCGGCAGATATTTTTTCGATTTACTCGAAGTGCATACTGCTCCAATACTTACCCCATATAGTTTCTTCTTCGGAAATGTCTACAGAATTCGGTACTGTATAGAGAATTCGCGCTAGATAGAAAACTTTTCTTAAAAATACAAAAGTAATACGTAGGAAATACGTGCGCCGGCTATTTTTTAAACTTTCATCAACATTTACATCTATTCAGAATCATGTAATATAATAACTATATACAGTAATGCTTCGAAATAAGCAAGTGGTCTCTGCTTCGAAATAAGCAAGTCGCTATCCCCTCTTCTTTGTTTGAAGTCGCCCGCAAAGTGAGAGGTACGAGAAACGAGTGAGAGGTCCATGAAAACGCGAAGCCCATGTTTAGGGTAATAAATTTCACGCTCGACTGAGCAGTGACATCGGTTAGTAGAAGAAGGATGGAATATATATACAGTAATGCATATACTATATACAGTAATTTTCTGTGGTAATGTTTCTCTAGATTCTACTATCATTCCAAAAATTAATCTATTTTTGATTTTATATTGCATGATGTTACTTTGTGGTTTAAAAATTTTAATCTTTTCATTTTCCATAAATTGTCTTGATTGTATATCTTCTGGTTGTCCTTCTTTGTTAAGAAATATTATTGCTGTGCCTTTTTTCATCCATAGATGGTCTTCGGTTTCTTCTATTTTTAATATAATTGGTTTATTGCTGATTATTTTGGGTTTTATTTGTTTAATTTTTGGTGGTTGATTTTTTTCTTTTTTAATTTTGATGGGTGTAATCGGAGCTGATAGAGTATCGCTTGAAGTCTCTTTATCTATTTTTCTTTTTAGTACTGGAGATCTTCCTCTTGTGCTTGAAGAAGAATCGATTTTAGGTGGTTCTCTGAAAATGTGTTTCGGTATAATTGTTTCTTCGTTGTATTCTTCTATTTCATCTCCAATTATTACTGGTTCCCTATTTATAGGTCTTTTCTGTGGAATGATATATTTTCGATCCTGTGGTGGTTGATGTACTTCTACAATGACTTGCTGTTCATTAGGTCTTCTTTTCTTTTTGATTTCTTCAGAGGAATATATTTTTGGATTTAAATTTGTTCTTTTTCTTGGTTTTGGTGGCTCTTCAGATACATCTGTCTCATAATATTGAGATTCATCTGAGCTTGTATAATCCTCTTTTACTCTTTTCTTTGTTGCGTTGTCCTCTTGAGAAAAACTTCTTTCTCGTATCCTGTCTTTCCGATATTTTTTTCTTGTTTCGAATTCTGAGGAATCGTCTCGTGGTCGTGTTAAATGTTTATGGCTTATTTTCCTTTTCTTAATATCCCGTGAACTAGATGAAGTTGTTGGCCTTGGTCTTCTAGGATATTGATGCCATTCTTTCTTCTTTTTGTGTTCTTCAGACTCAGTCGTAGTTGTTGGTCTGAGTCTGGTAGGATACTGGTGTGATTCCTTTTTCTTTTTGAATTCTCTTGATTCTGACGTGGTTGTTGTTTGTCTTGGGCGAGTGGGATATTGGTGCCACTCTTTCCTTTTCTTGTGTTTGCCCGATTCTGAAGTGGTCGTCGTTTGTCTGGGGCGAGTGGGATATTGGTGCCACTCTTTCTTCTTCTTACGCTTCTTTTTTGACCCAGACGTAGACGAATGCAGCCTCTTAGCATGTATTTGCAGGGCGTTTATATCTTCGATTGGATTTCTCGAAAGAGCGTCAGCGTTTATATTTTGTTTGCCTGGTTTGTACTTTATTTCATAATCGTACTCGCTCAATCTCAATTTCCATCGCATGAGTCTCGATGTAGGATCTGTGAGACTATTTAGCCAGATCAATGGTTTGTGATCTGTAATTAGATAAAACTTCCTGCCAAATATATATGGTCTGAAGTGATTTACTGCAAATATTACAGCAAGTAATTCTCTCTCTGTTGCGGAATATTGCGTTTCCGGCTTATTCATTACTCTTGAGGCGTAAGCTACTGGCTGATCCTTTCCTATCTCTCCTTGACTTAGGACTGCTCCTACCGCTGTTCCGGATGCATCAGTGGTTATATTAAATGGTCTCTCAAAGTCTGGATATTGCAGGATCGGTTCTTCGCATAGTACGTTTCTCAAGAATTCGAAGGCTTGCTGCTGTTGGCTGGACCACTCGAATTTTTGTTCTTTCTTCGTCAGGTCGGATAATGGCTTGGCTATCTTAGAGAAGTCTTTAATAAAACGTCTGTAGTATCCGCACAATCCCAGAAATTGTCTAATGTTTTTGACAGTCTTAGGAATGGGGAACCTCTGGACTGCTTCAACCTTTGCTGGGTCAGGTCTTACACCGTCTTCTGTAATTATGTGACCCAGGTACGCTACTTCTTTCTTCAGAAATTGGCATTTGTCAGGTTGCAAGCATAAGTTTGCTTCTCTGAGCTTTGCCATCATCCTATTGACTTTGGTTTCGTGTTCTTGTAACGAACTTGCATAAATTACAATGTCATCGATGAACACGAATAGTTCCAGTCCTTGCAGTCCGTCTAGGACGTTGTTCATCAGACGTTGGAACGTAGCTGCAGCATTTTTCAACCCAAAAGGCATTCTGTTGAATTCAAAGTGCCCAAATGGCGTCGAAAATGCCGTCTTATGCTTGTCTTCTGGATGCATTGGTGTTTGATGAAAACTGGACTTCAAATCAAACACGGAGAAGTATTTTGCGCTTCCCACTTGATCCAGAATGTCTGTAATATTGGGTAGTGGATAGGCATCGCTGATTGTTTTTTCGTTTAGCTTTCGGAAATCAATCACCAATCTCCACAATTTGTTTCCCTGTGAATCCTGTTTCTTAGGTACTATCCACAAGGGGGAGTTAAATGGTGACGATGAATGTTTGATTACTCCTTTCTCAAGGAGATCATTTACTTGATGATTGATTTCGTCTTTTAATGCATGAGGATATCTGTATTGCTTAACGTTTACAGGCATCTCATCCGTTGTGATGATTCTATGGTAGATTTTATTTGTTGCTGGGAGTTTATCTCCATCTATATAAAATCTGTCAGTGTGCTCTTTTACTATATCCTCTACATTGGCAAATTCTTCTTGATTGAGATGGTCTGTCTGTAGTATCTTTAGAATCTTTTGGGCTCGCTCAGGTTCTTGGTGGACTGCATCTTCATCTTGTGGTGCTTCTTCATATTGTTGCAGTTCAACAGCTGGCATTTCAATTTCTATATCTTCTGCTCCAACGTTGATTGCGTATAGAAATGCTATGCCATCCCGGTTCGTGACTACAGCATTCCCCATATATAGTTGTGGGTGAAGCTGCAGTTTTGGGACAAAACCGGTTTTTATTTCTGTGTTTGACACCTTTATGGGTATCATGGTTTTTGTCCTGGATGGTATTACTACTGCTGGTTGTTTGAACGGTATTATATTGTTGTTTACGATCAATATAGATTTAGCGTAATTGATGCTAGCTCCACTGCTTTTAAAGTATTCTGTGCCCAAAATTCCGTCTTGTTCAATTGGTAATTCTTCAATAATGTGGAAGATGGATTCTGTCTCCAGTATTTTTACTTTGATGTATCCTGTAGTGTAAATGGAGCTTTTAGTTATCCCGTTTAATTGAAAAATTATATCTGTATTTATAGTTATTTTATTTGAGATTGCTTGTTTCTTAATTATATTAATGTCTGACCCTGTGTCGACCATGAATAATGCCTTTTGATTTTTGAAATTTTCGCTTAATAGTTCGACACTGGGAGACTTATTTATCTCTCCTAAGTTCAGGTATAAGTTCGCTTTCTTACGTACCTGTTGTACTTGTGGAGTTTGCTGGAGTCTTTGACTTTTGACACGCTCCTGATATGCTTTCTTTCGGCACTCTTGAATCGTATGGCCGATGTTTTGGCAAAATTCGCAAATTGGCGCTCTATTTTGTGTCCAATTTCGATTCTGCCTTGGCATAGGTTGATTCTTGTGGGCTTGATTTGGCTGCGCAAAATCCTGAGGGACCCCTGGTCTTCCTTGCTGGTCTTTAAACCAGCAGGTTTCCAAGGTGTGCCCGGACCTTTGGCAGTGCTGACAGTATTTTGCTGGCCAGTGGGCCCTCGACGTGGATTGTCTTTGGAACCTCTGACTGCAGCATACACTGGTATTGTGCCCATATCCGTAACAATTGTTGCATTGTTCGGCTGTAATGAATCCTTGCGATAATTTAACCTTCGTTAGGTTCTCTATGCTCTCAGCTTCTGCTAGGATTGCTGCGCTTATTGCATCTTCAAGACTGTCAAAATTTTGATTTCTCATCCGACTATATACCTCTTGTTTTAAACCTGTCAGGAATGCTCTGACGGTATTTGTTTCCGAGGATTGGTTGTATCTTTCAACCTGATCTGGGAACTCCATCTCGTTGCAACTCTTGATATGTATCAAGAGTCCCGAAACGCGGCTGCCGTAGTCTACGACTGCCTCGGTCGGCGCTTGTACCATCCTTGCCATATCGCCACATAGCTGCATTGAAGTGAACAGCGGGGCGAAACGAGACTTTATTACGGCAATTAATTCTTCAATAGTGTCGTAGTCTCCGTTTTGTACCACTCTTGAAGCTTGCCCGTAAAATTTGTTCTTGATCAGCTGCACCAATCCGTACTCAGCATTTGGGGAGATTATATTCTTCGCCTTAAAACAGCTCTTTGCAAATTGATAAACAGGTATATTGCGGCCGTTGAATGCTGGTACGATGTCCGCTGCATCACGAATGCTGATCGGTCGGCTTCCTTCGGTTGATCCGCTGGCTGATGTGCCGGCTGGTATATCGGCTGTTCCGTTGGGCATCTTGATGTTTGCTTATTAATATAGTATATGTATATATGTACAACTCTCTATATCTACCCTGCTATATATTTTTTTTTTTTTCTTTTTTTATTTTGTTTATCTGTCTTTATTTTATTCTAGGCTTGACCATTAATGTCCGCAGAGATACGATTTTCTCATTACCACTCGAACAATCCCACCGCTGTCACCAAAAATTTTTCTTTATCTCTATACGTGTAACGACCCAGTGATAGGTACGTCACTGCACCGACGTATAGGGAGAGCGGTTCCCCAAGAAGGCGACTCGTATGAATGAGAATTGGGATTATAGGTTCGTGTGGTGTGCGGTTAAGGAGTGAAATCCAACATTAATGTATCAAACTAAAAATTATCTTTTATTTAAGTAAGTAAATTAACTATAATTGCTCTAAGTAAGTATAATATTAAGTATAACAATAGGTACGCCCTAGATAATGAAATACAATAAGAAATTATAATAGGTACGCCCTAGATAATGAAATACAGTGCAAAATATATGATTAACGCGACTTGATCTTCGAATACAGCCAATACTCTGTACAATTTGCCAAGTTACACTAAGTACTGGAAAACTATATTCTAGTAGCTTGTATGATACCTTCGGACACGAGCGGACTATACCTACAGGTCGCAATCGGTTTCTGGTCTAGCCAGAGCTATGCTAATACAGGCCTGCTCAAGGAGCTCCGCTCCTCGCTAGCTCTTTACACTTGAACGTGTGGCTTAGTATTAGCACGTGTTCAACACGTTGCGTACCATGAGTAGGGTGTCCACAGATCCGAACTCTCGTACGTCGCTACTGAAAGAGAAGGATAGAGCTAATCTCGCGCTCTATAGTTGCCTAGGCAATTCAGCGCAAGCTTTTCCTCTACTTCCAGAGTATTGTCTGCATCCGACCGAAGCCAGGGAAGATCTGATCTGGCTCTGCGTGGAACGCCTCTATTTATAGTCAGATTCTGCTGACTTAGCGTTTTTTTTTTTTTATAGGGTTCCTCTGAATTTCTGGAATTCCCCATCACGTGACGGCCAAGCACCCCTGCTCCTTAGTCTACGCGGTCACCCTACTCTAGAATCTCACCCCACCGCGAGATCATCGGGGTTGCGCTGGCGCGTATGCATTCGTTTGTCGATCATTTATCGATAATCTATTTACCGACTGACTTACCGACTAATTGCTTATCGACTTATCGCTTATCGACTTATTCAATCAGACTATATTATCGATTAAATGAAATTTATTTATTATAAGAAGTATAATACAAATCAAACTAATTACTTTTTTATAAATTCAATTAAACGTAAAAATTAACTTAACTATTTTGTACAATATTTAAACCAAAAATAAATCATAACAACAACAACGAAATGAAAAAGGTGCTGGGTCTTCTTAACGGGTCGTTACAATACCATAAACATCCTTCGCCGCGCGGTTAAGCAGTGCGACGCACTTGGAAATTTCCCAACTTAACCGTACAACATAAAAAGAATTTTCTTCTATTTTATTAGCGAGGTACCTCTCATACCTGCAAAGCATGCGTCAGCCGACCCTTCCACGAGGAGTGCGTGTGATTAAGAACAAAGCAATTGGAATTTAACGGAATGAAACTGTTTGAATGATATTAGAATGCGAGGGTTTGCGTGACAACCACTGTAGTTCGAAATCGTTCACGAATGTTCGAGACAAAGGTCGACCGAGACCATAAACATCGCCGTTAAACGTTAAACGTAGAACGTTCGAATATACGTAAATCGTCGAGATACGAATAAGAATGTTAATAACTAATAAGAGCGGAATGAATGTTAACTAAATGCGATACGCATGTATCCGCAATTTGTCGACGATTATAAAACACCGGTTGCATCGCGCGTAAACCGCTAAACAACGAGATTAACAGAGTAATTAACGTAGGAATAATAATTAACGTTATTTAACTAATGGTCATTCAAACCAGTAAACCAAATATTTCTAATAAAACGAAGACCTCCTTCGATACCGGAAATATCATTGTAGAAGCCTCTTTGATTAAGCAAACTCGAATGAATTAAGTCGTAATAGATTTCGAATATTCCAGAACTTTAGACTTGCGACGCATGAAATCCGTCGTAGCGTTAGAGGGGTAGAAAGAAATGGACAACCTTAGACGAAGGTAGAAGTAGAAGTCAAGAAGGGATGAGAGAACTAGGAAGAGCGGCCAACTAGCCCAATACGCGCGGGATTTCCCCTCCGTCACGTACCCCGATTTGCCAAATGATGTCCCCACTTTGGGCCCTTGATCGCGGGTCGAACCCTGAGACACGATCGCTTGACTGAGGCAAATCACTCTTCGTCGAAAAATCGTGAGGTACGTGGCGGGGAGCCCGTGTTCGCGTCGAGCAATAGTTTCGTGTGAAAATCGTAGAAATTAGCTGACCGGTAAAGTCCTTGAAAAAGGCAGAGTGCCGGGAGATTGCGGTTCGCGTTTTCCGCGTTAAAGACTCTTGCGAATACGTTAAATTTCACACTTTTCAATCACTATCCTTTTCTCTTTCGTTTTAAACCGTCCGCTGAATTAATTACTTTTCTTTTTGGTTTTTTTTTTCCTTTCGCGTCGCGTCGTCTTTACAATACTTTTGTGCTCGTTTCGTAATTAATCGTTCCGTAATGCCGTAATAAAGGCCGATCGCGAACGCGTAGTGCAGTGGCAGTTTCCTCATCTCTTCTTTGATTTCCAGATTTTCCAACGACACCAGAGAAAAGCTACTAACAATCTATTATCAGATATTATTATTTCACCTTGATTCCTGGTAAGTTGTCCATTTCATTTTATCAAATACGACGAATCTGGACGTGGCGAGGCAAAACGGGCGATCTACGAAACCGCGTATTCTGGAAAGTTTCCCTCTAGATCATTCCGTTCACAATAGAGACATAAGGTATCGAATATTTAAACTATTTGGAAAATTCCGATCTTACACACAAGGAGGACGGCCCCACGAAACCTAGGCTCTGGTAGTTTACCCTCTGGGACCGTTCTTTTCCTTTGATTCTCGCTTAGATTCTTTACACGACATCGTCGCTCGAATCATCGAACCATTTAATCAACCTCTATCTATTCTATAATCAATAGTTTCGTTTTTCATAAAATCTAAACTTTTCTTAATAATGCATTTATTTTCTGTTATATTTCAAACAGCTCGCATTTTCTGTTAACCAACCATTTTTATTGTTACATTTACCTTTTTGAGATTATATTTCTGTTACACCTAATTAGTTTAATTGATTTACATTTCAAATACTTCCTTTTTCCTTATTTTCACGCCTACCATCTTCGTACAAATTCACACGAGGGGCCCGTATGGGACTAGAGCATTGACGAACCCGATTAATATCTTAATTAACTATTAATTAATCTATCAACTCTTTTATTGTTCTAATCGCGAAGGATCTAACATCGTCTCGAGCGATTAGGACTGGTGGCAGCGCTAATACCGTTCTCAACCGCGTATCAGCCAACATAATAAGTAAAATTCTCGTTTTTTTATTTTGTACGTCGCGCGCCGTATCTCTCGCTCGCGACGTAACAAAATTAAAGTATTTTATCATTTTATTGTTGGTATTTAACAATAATGATGAATAACAACAAAAGGGAAATAATAATAATAGCAACAAAAAAATCAAACATTATAGATATAATAAAATGTAAATGTATATTAAACCCCACCATTAGTGTTGATTACGCGTAGCTACGGCACTGACTAGGTGAAGAGAGCGAGCTATGGCCGCCTGGCAGATACACGCGTCACCGGCAGATATTTTTTCGATTTACTCGAAGTGCATACTGCTCCAATACTTACCCCATATAGTTTCTTCTTCGGAAATGTCTACAAAATTCGGTACTGTATAGAGAATTCGCGCTAGATAGAAAACTTTTCTTAAAAATACAAAAGTAATACGTAGGAAATACGTGCGCCGGCTATTTTTTAAACTTTCATCAACATTTACATCTATTCAGAACCATGTAATATAATAACTATATATATGAATGTATTCGGGAAACTCTCCTCTATCTTATGAGACCAATGCGAATGTTCTAGCGCTTTTAGTTTCCGCGTAATAGGTCATTTTCCCCCCAAAATGCATGTTTTTACAAAAACCTGTGTTTTTCGAAAACTGAGGGAGATAGAGCAATTCGGTTTTCGGATTCGTGTTCAGGACGAGAAGCTCTCGAATTACAAAACATGTGGCACCCGGTATAGAAATATGGACTGACTGTTGGAGAGGGTATAATGACATAGAAAATATACCCAGGATGCATTATACCCACAAAACTGTTAACCACAGCCAAATGGGTACCGGGCGTTTTGTAAACGAGGAAACGGGTGCGAATACGCAGAAGGTTGAGGGATCTTGGAAGCACCTAAAATACAATGTAACAAATGCGGGATACCGTAAAGAAAATCTTGCGGAGCACATGTGTGCCTATATGTGGCACAGAATTGTGCGGATAAAAGGACTGGATCCCTTTCAACAATTAATACAAGATATTAAAACGGTGTATCCAACATTGAATTTAAATAACACTGACAATGATTCTCTTGTGTTCTCCTGTAGGTCGGTTAGGTTGAGCGCCTCCAATATTCAGCCTGGCTTTGCCTTATGAAGGGGCGTTGCACTGGTTTTATTTTTGTTTAAGCATGTTGTACAAATCCGATACTCTTGAAACTTTTACAGATAATACTTAAATAGTAAAGGATTATTCTTAATTTTTTTCGGTGGGTGTCACTCAAGGAATTGTTTATAAAAATCACCTTCAAAAAATTATTTATTAATTTTCAACCCTTAATTGTTGGATAAAAATTTTGAAAAAAAAATTATGAAATACAGCTAATGAGTACCTACTATTTGCAGTTTAATCTGTTCAAATCTAAAATAGTTTTCGAGAAAAAAAATATTAAAGTTTTGGGGTTTTACCCTGATATCTCCCTTATCAGGGGGTAGGGGGTTGAAATTGCACACAATTGTTATTTAGACAAAAAGCATTACATGGTATAAGTTGTAACTGTACATATTTTCACGGTTACATAGATAATGTAGAAATTTATTGTATCCGCGGAAAGAGCGTAGGCAGAGGCGGCGCGGCATAGCGGGCTAAACTTCCGAAAACCTTCATGCTCCGAATTGGCTAAAATTTTGGAACTAGATTCTTTTTTGATAAAAATGATGATTGCGAGAAGGATTTTTGGCGACTCGAAAAAAATTTCTTTTTACATGAATGTCACTCTCTATTTTACC